CTTCTCTCCAGTATGATTTCTTTGGTGTTGTTTTAATGCATCTGATGTAATAAAGGCCTTCCCACAGTCAGAGCACAAATGAGGTCTCACACCAGTATGAATACTCTCATGCACTCTTAAAGTCGCGAAAAACTCTTTTCACATACAGAACAAACGTGAGGCTTCACACCAGCGTGAACTTTAAGGTGTTTTTTTAAGCTAGATAAATAAACAAATGTTTTCTCACACTGATCACAGCTAGCCCCTCTGAAGGAGAAGCTAGACTGTCCAAAAGATTTTCTAAACTTTGGTAGCACACAATCCCCACTGAGGCTCTAGTGGAATGTCTAAAAGAGCCCTGACGCCTCTCCATGAGGCCAGAGAACAGCGGTGACACAGTTGTTCAAACATTTAAAAGTCAATTTCAAAATACTAAAATTTAGTATTTTCGTAAAAAGCTTGTGCTTTTGTATGATATCACAATGATGACATATCATAGGTTTCTTGTCAAATATCTTAATTACCTGTTTATATAGAGAAGTGACTGTTTTAAGAGTGGACGCTGATGTTTGTGGCCATCCTGTAATACAGTATGAGAAATGTAAAAAAAACCATTGCATGCATAAACAATAAAGCCACGTGATGACAACTCTCCTCTAATAAAACGAAAACAGTTTAGATTTGATTTAACTTTCCTACAAACATGGTTTACTTGACTTTGAAATTTCAGATGTTTATCCATGATTATGCCCAAGTATTTCGTTTCATGAACCTCATGAATGGGTTAATTGTCTAAATGAACTTCAAAGATGCTGTCAGGGGACCTCCGGTTGATAGAAAAACACATTGAGAAGGTTTTCTGAACATTTAAAGTTAAATCGGACAACTGAAGCATATCTTGAGATGTTATGTACATTCAGGCACATTCCACAACAAGTCATTCACTGAGCTTGGTTACAGTAAAGCTGTTATTGAAATTGTTTTTAGTTCTGAAATTTACAGGATATTCTCATAGCATGAAGACCTCTCATATAACAAAAGCTCAAGTAAAATAAGATCTCTCAGTTCATGACTCTAATCTGAATTTCAAATTATTTACTTGTAAGTTTATTATTTGTAAATGATGGATCTGAGCATGAACTATGCTCATTAGACAACTTCGGGCAATACTTTTTCATATGTCGCAGTAGAGTAGATGATAGGGTGAAAGTTTTCCCACATGAAGAGCACTGACACAGCTTCTCTCCAGTATGAACTCTCTGGTGTGATTTTAAGGCACTGGATGTAACAAAGGTCTTCTCACAGTCAAAGCACAAATAAGGTCTCACACCAGTATGAATACTCTCATGCTCTTTTAAATACTTCAGTAGTGTAAAACTCTTTCCACAAAAAGAACAAAAGTGAGGCTTCACACCAGCATGAACTTTAAGGTGTGTTTTTAAGCTTGATGCCACAACAAATGTTTTATCACACTGATCACAGCTGAATGATCTCACTCCAGAGTGACGGCGAAGATGATTGTTGAGACCGAATTTCGAAGTTAATCTCTTTCCACACTGACTACATGTGAATGGTTTTTCTCCAGTGTGAATTCTCATGTGTGTCTTAAGCCTTGATTTAATTGTGAAACTCGTTCCACACTGAGTGCATGAGAACAGCTTAACTCCAGTGTGAATCCTCATGTGTACATTAAGCCTTGATTTAATTGTGAAACTCTTTCCACACTCAGAGCAGGTTAAAGATTCTTTGACTCCAGTTTTTCCAGCTTGTTTTTGGGTGAAACACTTTTCAGCCTGTGAACTGATGTTTCCATCTTCATTTGTGGAATAATGAGGGTTTTGAAACTGAAGATTCTTGTCTTCATTCACCTCAATTGGGTCTAAAATAAACAGGATAAATGAGAACAATAATTTTCTAGGTCCTTTTTTCAGTTTTCATGTTAACGTTCACCATCAGTTATTAAAGAGAATGAAGGAAAACACCAACCTATTTGTTCCTCTGTTTCTTCATCTTTTATTCTGCAGGGTTCTTCCTTAATCTCCATTTTTACAATAGTATGTCCGTAGTTTCTCCTGGAGTAATTCCTCCTGCTTGCTTCTTCTTCTCCTGTGGGAAGATGGGAATATTCCCCAGCATTTAAACTCTCATTAACAGCTGTGGGAGCGTCACTGACTGAATTCACTGACCCTGTGTCTCAATGTCTATACTATCCATCTTAAACAGTATGTTTTATAATTAAAGTTAGTGTGTAGCAAAGCATATGTGTATTACTGAGTCTAATAAGTATAAACACTTATTATAGGCGTACTGTAGTGATTCAGGATAAAATAAAAACATGGTTTGGAGGATGGATTCATAATGTACTCATTATATAAATATTTTTTAATTCTGAATATATATATTTTTTTACAGTGTGCGTTTGGGAATCATGATGGATTCAACAAGGTCACTTGAAATTAAAGCAAATGGAACCATCTAGAGGAACATCTGTGGCGCTGCCAAACTATTGCCATTACTACAAAGTTATTCAGAGAATCGAGACGTTACAGAATCTGATATAAACAAGTTCCATTTTATTACTTTTTAAAAACAAATTGGTTGTCAAAATACAAATAGAAGAACAAAATACAAGAACAAGGTCACAGTGTAAGAACTTTCATCAGCTTAATTTAAAACCTTATTTCTACTAGATAGCAGCTCCAAAACAAGCCACTGCAAAATTGCCACAGACGCAGAACACATTCACTTTTCATCTTCTCTCTGTGATGTCTGAGTCCATATTATGAAAGGGAATAGGAAACGTATGTATATACAGCTGCCATTTAGTAGTTTTGAAATATTCTCATAATATCTCTCTGCACAATGTGAAAATTTGAGAAATAAGAATATAAAACGTGATTGTAATATATATACAGTAAATATATACATACAATTGTGGTCAGAATTATTTACACCCCTGGTAAATATGATCAAAGATGGCTGTGAGTTTGAGGAACACCTGAAAAGAGATCAGAGACCATTCCTTCATACAGAATCTCTCCAGATCCATCAGATTCCCGGATCCATGTTGGTGCATCTCCTCTTCAGTTCAGCCCACTCATTTTCTACAGGGTTCAGGTCAGGGAACTGGGACGGTTATGGCAGAAGCTTCATTTTGTGCTAAGTGACACATTTTTATGTTGATTTTAATGTTTGTTTTGGATCATTGTCCTGATGGAAGATCCAACCACGGCCCATCATACGATTTCTAGCAGAAATTCTAGCATTAAGGTTGCAATTTTTTCATCTGTTGGTAATTGCTAGAAGTCATGATGTGTCTGAACAAGAAGTCCAGGACCTCTGGCATAAAAAAAAAGAAAAAGCCCCACAACATTAAAGATTCAGCAGTATATTTAACCATGCGCATGGGGTACTTTTTATCCCTGTTTGCTGCAAAAAAGTACTTTTTTTTAAAAAGTTGCATCTGACCATAGAACTAGGTCCCATTTGAAGTTAGTCATGTCTTACAATTGGATATGGAGTTTGTTTTTGGATGAGCGAAGAGGATTTTACTTTAAACCCTCCAAATTAACATGTGGTGATGTAGCGGATGTTCGAATTTTTTTTAGGTTTTCTGAACCCAAGAGTCAACTAATCCCTGCAATTCTCCAGCGGTGATCCTTGGAGAGTCTTTGGCCAGAGTCTTTCCTCCTCGCCATGCAGTTGGACAATACAGACACTCGTCCTCTTTAAGGCAGATTTGTAGCATCTTTAGTTGATATGAACGTCTTAAAGGCACACTATGCAAGAATTGTACCTTAATATAACAGCTTCAAAGTCATTTCAGTGGTAAACAAACTCATAGTAGGGCGAATCATCCTGGTAGTAAAGCTTGGGGGGGACACCGCTGGAAAAACCAGCAATGCAAGTTTGAGAGGAGCGCCCCCGACAAATCTTGCGAGAATCACAACATGCTTTACGCCAACGACGTCACACACATCAACCACAACATGAAGCACGAAGACACTTGCGCGCATTTCAGACGTGATACTCGACGATTGAAAAAGCTAAGAAAACGCGGTCGGAAGAGACTAGGAAGAGGAAAAGAGAATGAGCCTCTCAACCCGTAAATAAATGCATCGATCCCCAAGTTTTATTTGAGTTCTTTAATGGTCTAGTAGTAGATCTTAAGCCAAGCGTGTCAAAGGTTACAGGTTCTAAGTTTTTTCTCTCTCATCAAAACTGAATATGTTCATCAGTGGTTACAGTCTATATCAAGCAGGGACACGTTTTTGTGCATTTTATTTTGTGATTTCATCGGATTGAATAAAGAGTCTCCGCAACAGCGATAGATTGAAGAGCGCGTCCGAGTTAAGACTGCGCGCGCGCCACCAAAAGAGACACTATGTATCCATGACACTGATAGCAGTGGACACGAGCGCTCAGCTTGAGTTCAAAAACACATTTTAGCGCTAGATCTCTTATTTAATGCAAAAAATGCACACTATGCAAGATTTGTACCTTAATACAACAGCTTCAAAGGGGTATCAGGCCGTGAGTGCAGAGACCAGGCTATGGCAGAGACGCTCTACGTGAGTGGTATTTACGACTGTAACATTAAATACAAGTACTCCACAGCGACTCTAGGTGTCGCTGTTTGACAAAAACGGAATTCCTGCATAGTGTGCCTTTAATTATTGCCCTGATGGTGGAAATGGTACTTTTTTCCAATGCTTTGACTATTTTCTTACTGCCACTTTCTATTTTGTGATGCTCAACAATCTTTTGCCGCACATCAGAACTAATTTTTTTTGTTTTACTTGTGTTGGATGATTAATGAATTAATAATTAATGAAAATAATTAAACTCTACAAAGAAACAAAACGCATTCCTTCATAAAATGTTTTAAGGTAACACTAGTTTTCTAAACTATTTTGACCTTCTCCAAAGGTTCCCATTGACAAAATTCACCACTACTTTTAGCAAATTATCCAACTTTCGATTAATCTGAATATCAAATTATTTGTATATGATGGATTATTTGTAAGTGATGGATCTGAACATGACATTTACTCAGACAACTTCTGGCAACGTTTTTTCATATGAGTCTGTAGAGTAGATAATTGGGTGAAACTCTTTTTACAGTTTGAGGACTTGAACCGTTTCTCTCTAGTATGAATTGTCTGGTGTTTTCTTAATGCGCCTGATGAAATAAAGGTCTTCTCACAGTCAGAGCACACATAAGGTCTCACACCAGTATGAATACTCTCATGTTCTTTCAAATGTTGCAGTCGGGTAAAACGCTTTCCACAAAAAGAACAAACATGAGGCTTCACAGCAGCATGAGTTTTAAGGTGTCTTCTAAAGCTTGATTCCACAACAAAAGTTTTATCGCACTGATCACAGCTGAACAACTTCCCTCCAGAGTGAAAGTGCAGATGATCTTTGAGAGTGCTTTTGGATGTGAAACGGTTTCCACACTGAGTGCATTTATAAGGCTTCTCTCCTGTGTGAATTCTCATGTGTCTTATAAGGTTTGATTTTTGTCCGCTACTCTTTCCACACTGAGTGCATGTGAACTGTTTTTCTCCAGTGTGAATTCTCGTGTGTCTGTTAAGCTCTGATTTAGTCGTGTAACTCTTTCCACACTGAGGGCATGTGAATGGTTTTTCTCCATTGTGAGCTCTCGTGTGCACAATTAAGTCCTCTTTGCGAATGAAACTCCTTCCACACAGAGTGCATGTATAAGGCTTCTCTCCAGTGTGAATCATCATGTGTGTCTTAAGGTGTGCTTCATGTCTGTAACTCTTTCCACACTGAGTGCAGGTGAATGGTTTTTCTCCAGTGTGAATTCTCAAGTGTCTGTTAAGGTGTGACTTAAATATGAAACTCTTTACACACTGAGAGCATGCATAAGGCCTGTCTCCAGTGTGAATCCTCACGTGGAGATTAAGCTTTGATTTCTGTGTGAAACTCTTTCCACACTGAGTGCATGAGAACGGTTTTTCTCCAGTGTGAATTCTCATGTGTCTCTGAAAGTTTGATTTAAGTATGAAACTTTTTCCACACTCAGAGCAGCTGAAAGATCCAGATTTTCCAGCTTGTTTTTGAGTGGAATTCTCTTCAGTCTTTGAAACGACTGCATTTTCATCTTCATTTTTGATATGAGGTTTTTGAAACAGATGTTGCTTGTCTTCATTTTTACATGTCAATTCTCCATATTCATATGTAAAATGATGAGGTTTGTTTTCATTCACTTCCATCGGGTCTAAAATCAACATATTAAATTCAATTAAAAAAGCACATTTGAGAAACAAAGAAATAAAGTTAATTCTCAATTTAGCACAAATCTAGTTAACTACTGAGTCTGTTAGTATCTAGTTTTGGATGTATTTTATATGTCAGTTTTCATCGTAATGTTCCTCATCAATCAATAAAGAGTATAAAGGAAAACACCAACCTATTTGTTCCTCTGTATCTTCATCTTTTATTCTGCAGGGTTCTTCCTTAATCTCCATCTTTACAATAGTAGGTCCGTAGTTTCTCCTGGAGTAATTCCTCCTGCTTGCTTCTTCTCCTGTGGGAAGATGGGAATATTCCCCAGCATTTAAACTCTCATGAACGGCTGTGGGAGCTTCACTGACTGAAGGAGTGAATTGCGGTCTTTGTTGCTCATTTGGCAGATGATCATCACACTAACAATCACTCTGTTTTATCCAGCTTTAAAGGTGGGGAGGTGATTTTCAGAGAGGCTAGCAATAGCGAGCTAGCTTTGAAAGAATAAGATCTCCAAAGCCACGCCTCCCTCAAAAGAGATCAATTGATAATCGTTTTTACTCATATTTTCCCTATTTAAGCATTTACTCATAATCGGGTATAGGTTTTTTTAACATCGGATTCACCGATAAATGGTGCTATCTTGTGTGCGTTTTGAGAATTGTGCGCAAGACCGCCATAAAGCACTGCGTTTGGGGGGAGATGAGTCAACAAAGGTGTTCGAAGATAAAATAACTTGCCTTAAAGGGATAGTTCACCCAAAAATGAAAATTATCCCATGATTTACTCACCCTGAAGCCATCCTAGGAGGTCCGAAATTAATAATTGTGTGGTGAACTCTTTTATGTAGAAATGCATCGGTCGACTGGCCATAAATCGGAAACGGCCGGTTTGCGCTCCAAATAAATGGTCGGCAACTGTTTTTTTTTTGTTGAATTTTGGCTGATCTCTATTCGGGACTTGCACACAAACTGCATTGCAATACTTTCCTGAAATGTCATTTGTGTGAAAATATTACGAAGTCTGTAAACAGGAAGTTAACACAGACCAGAGATGGGACAAGCTGAAGACTGACGCAAAGAGGAGAGTGCAGACATGCAGGAAAGAAAATACCTGGCACAGCAAGATCACTGTAAATGATTCTCGAAATATAGGAAAATAAAAATATTGAATTGGGTTGGGGGTTTATATGAATCTATCTCTGATAGGTATCTCTGATTAGTCTTAAGAATAGTTACGATGGCATTTTCTTTTTCTCTTATCTTTGTATAAAATAGTTTTTAAAAGGACATCTGCTGTTTACAGTGGTACCAAAAAATGGAACCACTTTTTATCCTTAAGCGGGACTTGCTGCCAGAGACTGAATTTGCATTTTAATTCAGTCCGTTTCTTTGTGCAGGTCTCTATTTTAACAATTTCACATAGCTAAAGTTAGACCATTCTGTATGTGCTGGACTTTAAACTTGTTTAAACAAGGACTTTTATTTTGATACTTATTTGTGAAAGGGATGTGACCATAGAAGGAGCAGAAAGTCTAGCATTAGCTTTCACAGAAGTAGACGGGGTGCTTCTCAATATCCCTCCTCGTCTCCTCGATCCTCCGTCCTCCATCCTATGACCCGGAAACCGATCGAGCTCAGCCATCTTGAAGGACATCTCAATTCTCTAATTGACCCTTCGCTAAGCCCCGCCCTCCTTAGTTACTGTTGCTACGCCTGTCAAGCTTTCGCGGCTGCCACGTCTATTACAGTGTGAATGCACCGGTGTCAGACATTCCCAAGGAGATATTTAGTCATTTTTGGCGAACAAGTAAAATATGAGAGAGCAAGACAAAAGGGACAGCAGTATGCATTCGAGGGATATATCCACGACATAATATGCAACCTATTAGAGAATAATTTTATCAAAATTGAAGCTAAAGCCTATAACGTTAGGTCCCAGCACAAGCAGCAGCCGCCTCCTTAGCAGACCATTCAAATGGGAAAATTGACCAGCTATGTTCATGCACAGCAGGGTAAGTGAAATGTGAAAATAATCTAATAATTACAAATCAAACAGTTTATCCATCAATCTAACACCGGGAGAGCCGCGATCGGATTGGGGTAAAGTTACAGGGGTAACGTTAGTAGGCCGTCGATTAACAAAATGCTGAAACATATTTTAAAGTATGTCAGTGAGCCTCCGTCTTGCCTTTAATCGTCTTATTTTACGTTCAAATATATGCATTATGAACAAAGAACCGCCATTATTTCCAAGCAATAGGCGTTTTTTTTTTTGTTAATCCTGTCGACATTTAGTTGTGAATAGGTCTCCACACTGCTTGATCCACGCCCGTGATTTCTCCCCTTTGGCTTTTAGGTTTCGGGAAGAGAAAAAATGCCACCCCACCGTCCAAACTTTTAGAATACCGGGTCTCAGATTTGCACAATCCATACGCACAACGCGTCGGCATGTTTCCCTCGCTCGAAAGCTTGACAGACCTCCCGCGCCTAGTTACGGTTGCTAAGCCACGATTGGCCAGTGGCGGTTTTCGGGCGTGGCTTAGCGAAGGGTCAATTGCACCGCGAGGAGTCAAGGATCGAGGAGTGAGGAGGCTTCCAGAGGAGCTATGAGCGAGGATACACAGGTGTACCCTTTGCGGTAGAGTTGTATCGACTAAACGTGATGCACGTATCTTCTCCCCCTTCACATCTGTCACAATCATTTGAATTTATACTTTACTTTTGTAGTTTACATAAACCACACATCTCACATATTTCAACAAATTATCTTGCTTTATTATTATTTATTATAAATTTCTTAAACTTTAACAACATAAGGGCAGATCCTATGAGCGCTGCTGATGACGCTGTGAAGTGATGCTCCAGTGATCAAGTATTCAAATGTATAAAAAAAGCTTTCATTCAATTCCTCCGTCCTCATTTTTTTTCCCTTGCAGCCTTCCCTCGCGTCCTACAGGGGGTGGAGCTGAGACACGAGGAAAGGAAGCGAGGAAAGGAAACGAGGATGCACAAATAAGAAATGAGAAGCACCCCATGTATCAGCATCAGAGTCTTTTAAAGGGGTCATTGGATGCACATTTTCCACAAGTTGGTATGATTCTTTAAGGTCTTCATGTAAAGTTTGTAACATACTTTAGTTAAAATTGGTTGTGTAAAACAACAATTTTTACCTTCTCAAAAACAGCTCTGTTCACAGCGACCCGTTTCGGTGCATGTCTCTATAAATGATAATGAGCAACTGCTTCCCCCACCCCTCTCTTCCATGCAGAGGTGGGTAGAGTATCCAAAAACTGTACTCAAGTAAAAGTACAAGTACTTATAGAAATATTTACTCAAAGTAAAAGTAAAAGTAATAATCTAAAGTTACTTGAGTAAGAGTAAAAAAGTATCCAATGAAAAACTACTCAAGTAGTTAGTTACTTTGGATCACATAGGCCTATATATATATATATATATAACATGATATTATTTAGATATTTTTTCATTTTAATGACTAAAATTATCATAATTAGATAAGCTATCTTTGCAACAAAAACAGAAGAGACAAACATTATTTCTGTATATCATATCTATTGCCCGAAAACCATTGCCTGTCCTTTGGTTTGTATAATAGTATAATAACTTATACAACTACATTTGGATTATTAGACAATGTCGGAATAAAGTGACTCTATGGAGTTTTACATTCATATGTAAAGGGGTGGAAACCATTGACACAGATTAGAAAGTGTTAAAACTCTGCACATGTGTCCGAAGTCATGTCATGCCCAACACAAACAACGATCAAATGCACGGATCTTCTTCTGTCTGTTCTCCAAAATGTATTTAAATGTAGGCTATATTTATGAAAGCATCTTTAAACTGGTTAACTGTGTCTAATAAGGCAGGCAAAGGCATTCGTTTTCAAGTCGAGTTCGCACGGCACTGCGCAATACACACATTGTGTGTGTACACTCATAAACTGGACGATGATAGCTTATTTAATGTATAAAGTAATGTATATGTCCAAAAAAGGGTAATGTCATACTTTGTAGTAGTGCTATATGGCGTAATAATCTGTTTGGTTGTAAAATGTATTACCAGAATGAAATGAAATCGAATGTATCGTCGTGTGGAATAATTCATTCACAGACAGCTTACGAAGTAACATACGAAGATGTTCAACTAATAAAGATCTTCATCGCTGGCAAAAAATATGATGCATTTGCAGATTTACTTTCTAGACTGTACCGTAGACTGTGGACCGCCACTTCATACAACCCTCTTGATGTTCTTAAATGTTCCTGTTACGACTCCGAGACGATTCAGTGCGTGCAGGAAACTGAACAGATCATTCAAACGGATTCGCGAACCGATTTAGACAGATCTGCCCAACTTGTTTGATGAAGTCTTTGAACGGAATCGACTCAAAAGAGTGATTCATTTGTGAATTGAGCATCGCTCATGCCCAGAAAAAAGAGAGAGCGCGCGCTTAGAATAAACTACGCTTTTAACAACATATTGCATTAAAATAGAGGAACGTCGCCCAACGTAACGAAGTAAAAGTACCGTTTTTTCATTAGAAATGTACTCGAGTTAAAGTAAAAGTACCCACAATTAAATCTACTCTTAAAAGTAAAAATTTTCCAAAAAAATACTCAAGTAAATGTAACGAAGTAAATGTACTTCGTTACTACCCACCTCTGCTTCCATGGGGTGTCGACACAAGACACAAAGTGCTGCCTTGGCGGACAGTAAACAAATGGCTGTGGGTGGAAATATATACAGGACAGTCAGACAGTTGTCGTGGGCAGACCATGAGCAATATGACATCATATTGCTCAGAAAATCCAAACGGCTTGATTATTGAGAGTGTTTAGACTAAGGATAAAAAATAAATAAATAAATTAAAAAAAAAAAGAGTGAATGGATTTTTTTCATTGTACAGTGGTTGTGTCCACACACTGCAAAGACACATTTATATGCAAACACCATTTAAAGTGAATATTGCATCCAATGACCCCTTTAAAGAGATCAGCCTCCAACGCACTGCAGACTATGTAGGCTAAGACATCAAGCATTAGCTATAATTCACAAAGCATTCCTGAGTCAGACACTTACCAAATACAGGCCAAATACCTTGCACATAGTTAGCTGGTAACTTCTGGACTGAATTTTATTGATCATCAACCTATAAATCAGGGGTCGGCAACAGGAATAATATCTGGCCCGCGCCGCAGCCTGAAAAGTTCTGAAAGACATTCAAAAGAGTCTGTGGATCGCTAGACACACCTCTAAAATAACCGTCATGAAATGTCTAATATTATATTAAATGCGGCTCTATAGCACGCGTTGTGTTTATCGTGCAATTTATACACGGAAATGTGTTTTTACGTGCATATGATACGCAGTTTTTCGCGTGCATTTGATACGCACTTTATTGCGTGTAATACACACGCATCCCACACCACTAATCCTACCCAACGTATAATACACACGCACCAGACACCACTACTAAACCTACCCATGCGTATCATATGCACGTAAAAACTCTTTTTCGCGTATAAATTGCACGATAGACACAATGCGTGCTATAGAGACGCATT